CAGCTCCGCCTTCTTCATTCCTGCACCTGCAATCGTTGTGTCAGGCTTTGAATACAAATGTCTCATCGTCACAGCTGCCACTGTCGCGCGGCGTCACACGGGTCACAACGCATACAAAATCACATACACACATAAACAAAAAAACACAGAGAGAGACATTTTATCCCGTATTTCCTTCTCTTGTAAGACTATCATATAATCCTTCGATAAGTTCACTTCACCTGAATTGCTTACTTCTTCGATAACACCCCCTCATTCATGCACATCTGCTCCGATGATTCGCACCGCCCAACGCAGCACCAGATGAAACAGTTCCTAGCCCAGGTATCATTGCGTTGGAGGGATCACTGGGCAAAGGGGAGAGGGAAGGAGTATTCTTCAGAGTGGTAACAGGAACAATGAGAGCAGACAGTATGGGGCTCAGGATTTGGAGACCTCCTTCTTCCTCTCGCATTGTTTATTTGGGCAGAGTATTGTCACATTGGGAATCACCTTCATAATGCACTACACACCTCAATTATCCTTGTCGTTTGATGGGTCGCTTCTGCTCTACGAGCGTATAGTAAATGGCCCGCAGTTGTAGTAGTCTCTTCCGAATGGGTCGTAATACACAATACCCACCTGGTTCACGTTATCGCACCACTCTTCTACAGATTTACGCGTTTTCTTCTCCTTAGCCAAGAATTTCTTGTAAAGAGCCTCACGCCTCTTAGGATCCCTTTCCTCCGACTCCTCCGAATCTTCATCCATTTCACTGGGGTGGGTGATGCGTGACTCTGCGGAACGCAAGAAATCAAGGTTTTGATTCGTCAGTGGGAGGCATAAATCATCTTCCGGAAATCCCGCATTCAAAACTGGAGGCAAAACAATCCACGTATTGGGCCCTAGAACATGCTCCACGGAAGGGTTTCCCATAGATAGTTCATCGTGAAATTCCTCGATTGCATTGCGCTGAGGAACAACACCACCCTGTACTCCATTCCGCAGCATGGCGTGTAGTTCTGTCACATTGTTTACTGTCCTTCTCAGCAAACGTCGACGAGATGAAACTGTACCACTAGTACCAACTCTTGACGCTATCTGTGCGCTGTTGCCATGTGAGTTATTATTACCAGTTATAATCATAGCGCCGTTCTCGTGCGTGCCCGTCAAAGGAGCTGAGTTCCCATCCACCACCTCTTGTAGAGCTCTGGGGTCCCTGTGCTGCTCCACTGCGTTGCCTGACTGCTCAAAAACAGGCACCTGGACAGCACCATCGTCTTGTGGAGGAACAGTCGTGGGCGGTGAAGCGTCGACAGAAACAGTTGTCAGAGGATTTGATTCCCTCTGCACAGAGTGTGGCACCGTCGACAAGGGTTGTGTGCCAGTGTCCAGCGACTCCCTTCTGTTTTTTCGTCGCCGGGGCAACACATACACAACGGTGACAACCAAAGCAATTACCAGAGCGATGCCAGCAATAACAATCCCGGCGATGACTCCACCAGACAATTTTTTCCCCCCCTTCCCTTCCGACAAATCGAACATCTGTGTGTAGGTGCGTCCTCCGATTGTCACGTTGGCTGCGATGAAGCAGAGCTTCACATCCTTAACAAGCATTCCCCTGCTGGCGAGGTCCAGAAACACGGATAATGAATTTGGGAGCTCACTCTTCTCACACATACGAGGCCCAGCAGACACGGAATCACACGTGTCACTCAGCGGCACGGCGCACACCGTGTACGGCTCTCTGCGCCACTCGAGGTCGCCGCCACTGACACCAATCGTAACAGTGTTCCGGTCCGGGTCAGCAGTTATCTTGAAGGCAAAGGGCTTCTCCAGCACCGTCACCGGCAGCGCAGCAGGAGCAGTGTACTCTCCATCACCATCATCGACACACACAGCGTACACGCCAGCTTGTGCAGACAGCACACGGAGGTCGGACAGGTACACCCGCGACGAGACGGAGGTGCTAGCGCACGCATCAAGATGCACCACATCTTCCCCACTGTCAGTAGTCACACGGGGGCAGTCGTTGCCAGGGCACCGCACCAGAAACACACGCCTCAGCACACTGACCACAGATTCTGCATTCCGCAGCACGACATTTCTGTCTTTGCCAGCTGTCAAGTACAGCGGCGTGGCCATCAGCAGCTTCACCTCAAGAGAATTCCCATCCCATGGAAGATATTGAGAAT